CTGAGGCCTCTGTGGGTCCTCTGACCTGGGGGCCTTTGACCTGCCAGGATGCCAACCTTCCAGGGACCTCATCCTCATATAATGACCTGGCCATGCTGAGGGCCAACCCCTCCACACCCATATACCTAAGGCAAATGGCCTGAGTGACAAGTGACACTGCAGTGAATGTAGCAAGCAAGGCCCTGCCTCCATGGAGCTAGAGCCAAGAGGAAAAGGTAGACATTGAAGGAGCAATTACAAGGGTGATGAGTGCCATGAAGGAGAAGTATAGGACACTTTGGAAACCCAGGATAGGCTGCCTAACCGAGCCTGGAGTGGCAGTGGTCAAGGAAGGCTGCTCTGGCAAGAAACAGGATGAGGGGATGGAAGTTACAGCTCACCTTGGAAAAGAGCCTTCCAGTGGGATGCCCTGACTCAGGAGGTACCCCAACAGCGGGTGGAGCACGAACGGAGGATGCTGGGGAGAACAGCCCCCAGCCTGGATGGCTTGGAAACAGGTAGAGTAGCACAGTCATGAAGAACACAGGCTCTGGAGACAAACAGCCCTGGGTTCTGTTTCCAGCTTCATCACAACCACAGAAATGTAGGCAAGTTGCTTGATCTCAAAATTATGGACAATGTTAAACATAGACAAAAGTAGAATTATTTAGGGAACAATCATGACCTATTCATTACCCAGCTTCAACAATGACAAACTCATGACAAATCTTTCATTTATATCCTTACCCAGCTTCTCTGACTCTATCATTTTGAGGCAAATCCCAGACACCACAGCATTACACCCATAAAAATATAGATGTATATCTCTAAAAGATAACAACTTCTTTTAACATAATACACATTACTATTATTGCCTTGCATAAAATTTTATCAATAATTTATTAATATCATTAAATATCTAGTCATTTCCAAATCTGAAGTTTCCAATGGTCTCACAATGTCCTAACCTTTTCTTTCTTTGTTTTTATTATTTTTTTTACAGTGTCTTTGAATAAGGATCGACATAAGATCGTCACAGTGTGTTTGTGCTTTGCCTCTTTAAGCCTCAATTTCCTCATCTAACTGTAAGTCCCTTATTACAGCCTTAACTTCAGAAGGATGAGGCAGTGAAGATCATAAATGAAAAAAAGCAACTGTCTCAGGATTAGGCAAGTAGTCACTTGCTCAGAGTTTGGAAAGATTTACACGGTTCTTTCCCTTGGGTTCAAGTCACCTGTTGTCATATCCACAGCGTCCACTGTGTCCTCTGTAGGGGAGGGATCAGGAGTGGATCCTCTGCCCTGTTCAGATTGCCCCTCCTCTGTTCTGCAAAGGTCATGGTGACCTTGTTTTCAACACTTGCTGCTGCCCAGGCAGGTGCCCTCTCTCAGTGTGCCTGGGAACCTCTTATCTCCACTCTCTCTCCCTTCACCACCTGCAAGCCCTGTGGTCTCTTTAACCACCCATCCTGCTTCCTCCCACTGGGGCCTTCCCCTCTCCCCTGCATCTGGTCCTGGTTGTCAATCATTGACTGCCATTTTGTTTTCTCTTCGATGGAGCCAGAGATGATTTCAAATGCGTGAACATGAAGGAGGAGGTGAAGGAAAATAGCCCTGAAGTACAACCTCAAGGTCAAGCACCCATGAGACATTCAGACTTTTAACACAGCCCAGGTGACTGCCTCTCAGTGTATCATGTATACATTATTATACCACAAGAGTCTCTGTCTCTTTCTGTGCTTCAACTTGTGTAACAAAAGGTGAGCTCCTGTTATCCTAGCTTCGTGTGAGTCTCACTCATGCCAAAAGGGGGAGTTGGTGTGTGACAAGCCCTACAAAAGGGGTAAGGAGTGGGGAAATCCTGCCACATAAAAATGGAGTTAATACCAACTGCACAGGTAGGACACATAGAATGTGCACAATAAATATTTGTTGGGTGGAATTGATGAACAAAATGAGTAAAAGGCACCAATCCCAGTGCCTGACACATTGTGAATTTTAAACAAATACAACTATAAAATAAGTATTATTATCAGATAATGGCTGAGGTCTCTGCCATCTAACCACCAAAGCTCGAAGGCATGAAGGAGTCAGGATTGGAACCCCATCCAGCGGACACTGGAAGACCCACTGCCTTGGGGCTCAGGACAGGGTGCCCAGAGGAGCTAGTGTGCCTGTGAACTTTGCTCTCCTTCAG